ATACTTTAAAGGGTAAGTAGTTGTTAAAGTTGTCCAATTGCAAAATTGGGAGCGACAAGGTTAAATCCACATCTTCAGACTCTAATCATACTTACTCTGCAGTCCTCTTACTTCCACACATTTTAAGATATTATGGTGTAACGACCTTCTCATTCTCCAGCTTTAATTTTCTTTATCTTTTACTCAAGATTTTAGAGCAGGTAGTTTATGAGCCAAAGAACCCCAAAGGTTGCAATGGGCAGCATGATACAACTTTTAGTTTATAATCTAAATTCATTGCAGAAGGGGGGGGGTAATTAAAGAGAGATTCATTTATTCAGTTCACACATTAATTGTGCATCCACTCTATGGGAGGCAGCTTTCTAGGGCCTGGGGATATATTGGTGATTAAACAACTTATTCTCTTGCAGTGTACTTTCTAGTAAAGGCCACAGACGATGAACAAGAAATTTTTTTTTTTTCTAATTGGAGTACAGTTGATTTACAATGTTGTGTTAGTTTCAGGGATACATTAAAGTGAATCAGTTATACGTATACATATATCCTCTCTTTTTTAGATTCTTTTCCCATATAGGCCATTACACAGTATTGAGTAGAGTTCCTTGTGCTATACAATAGGTTCTAGGCTATGTATTTTATTAATATTTCTTGTTTAAGCAGAAAACATAAATAAGATATATTAATAAAATATATAGTCTAGGTAAATGTTAAGAGGAAAAAAAATTCAGGAAAAGCAATAGAGAGAGTGGGTAAATGACGTTTGCAATTTTAGATGAGGTGATTCAGAAAAACTCTGTGAGAAGGTGACATTTGAATGAAGAACTGAAGGAAGTTAGCAAGTAAGTCACACAGCTATTTATTGGAAGAGAATTCCAGACCAAGGGAACATCAAGTACAAAGTCTCTGAGGCTGGAATGTGCTGGATGTATTCAAAGGCTAGAGGAGGCCAACTGGGGTAGAGTGAACTGAATGAAGGGGAGAATAGGAAATGTTTCACAGGAGTGCAGATCTTATAGGACATTGTAGACCTTTGTAAAGACTTTGGTTTTTACTTTTATTGAGGTAGGAGACATTGGATGCCTCCATCAATGAATCTTATTATCTGGCTTGTATTTAAAGAGAATCTCTCCATGTTGTTGAACAGAGAGGAAAGGGGGATGGATGAGGGTCAAAGTAGGGAGATCATTTAGGAGGCTGTTTAAAAAAAAATCAGGTGGGGCTTCCGTGGTGGTGCAGTGGTTGAGAGTCCGCCTGCCGATGCAGGGGACACAGGTTCGTGCCCTGGTCCAGGAGGATCCCACATGCCGCGGAGCAGCTGGGCCCGTGAGCCATGGCCGCTGAGCCTGCGCGTCCAGAGCCTGTGCTCCGCAACGGGAGAGGCCACAGCAGTGAGAGGCCAGCATACCGAAAAAAAAAAAAAAAAAAAAATCAGGTAGCTCTAACCAATTTTGTGCAATTGAGGTGAGGAGCAGCTGTCAGATAGAAGACAGGAGCTACAAGATTTCTTGATGGATTAAGAGTAGTGTGTGAAAAAGAGGAATCAATATGACTCTTAAGTTCTTGGCCAGAACACTTCAAAGAATGAAGTTGCTGTTTACTGAAATGAGGAAAACAGAAGGAAGGGTAGATTTGGGAGTGGGGGGTGGGAGCGGAGGGAGAAACAGGATAAGAAGGGGCTCAGTTTTGAACATGTAATATTTGATATTGATACTTTTTAAAATCCAGTGGGGATTAAATGGATACTAAAAATATACTGATGTAAGAGGGCTCAGCTCTTAGACATTTAGTTTAAGTGGAATAGTGTTATTATAACCATTCAAAAACAAGTATTTATTCATCTTTTTTTTTTTTTTTTTTGTGCAGTACGCGGGCCTCTGACTGTTGTGGCCTCTCCCGTTGCGGAGCACAGGCTTCGGACGCGCAGGATCAGCGGCCATGGCTCACGGGCCCAGCCGCTCCGCGGCATGTGGGATCTTCCCGGACCGGGGCACGAACCTGCATCCCCTGCATCGGCAGGCGGACTCTCAACCACTGCGCCACCAGGGAAGCCCTATTCATCATTTTTTATTTGTCAAGCCCAATACTAAGTGCTAGGATATAATAATAAGATGTAAGACTAATAAGATCTCAAGTCACATAATGGTATATAGTTCATGTCAGGGGTGATTGAGTTATAGAGTACTCAAAACGTGGAACCTTGGAAATAGGAATACTTGCTGCATTATCACATTGTTAAAACTCTACCTAGGAGGGCTTCCCTGGTGGCGCAGTGGTTGAGAGTCTGCCTGCTGATGCAGGGGATGCAGGTTCGTGCCCCGGTCCGGGAGGATCCCACATGTCGTGGAGCGGCTGGGCCAGTGAGCCATGGCCGCTGAGCCTGCACGTCTGGAGCCTGTGCTCTGCAACGGGAGAGGCCGCAACGGGAGAGGCCGCAACAGTGAGAGGCCTGCGTACCGCAAAAAAAAAAAAAAAACTATACCTAGGAGTTTTATTCAATTGACCATCCTCTTGAAGGGGGGTTGGTTTTTATCATGGCTTGGCCTCCTGAAAGTTCTGTTATGACAGACTACTATAAAGAAGGCTAAACTCATAGGTCTTGTTCACATTTAATGTTCATTGTTCTTTTTCTTTCATCTTACTGATAAAATTCAAGTGGTGAGTTACGTTTGATCACAGTATAATACATATAAGGTAGTTGGTGTTTATGTTTTCTGAACTAGACAGTAATACCCGAAAGATGATTACTAATTAATTGCTAGACTTTTTTATTCTTTCTTTGAGCATTATGTACTTTTTGTAGTTGTTTTGACATTTGGTATTCTTCTCTTAATAACTCTGCATGAGGTTTTTGAAAGACCTACAAAGGCACTGAGTAAAGTCAATACATTTCTAATAATGCAACTACCCAGGAAAAGCTGGAGTTATTTGGTTTCTTTTTTTTCTTTCTTTTTTAGTGTTTTAGGTCTTTAGGATATATTTGAGAATGTATTATACCTGCCATTATGGAAGACTGCTGTGCTGAACGCTGGTGCTTGATACTCAATTACAGCATCTTTCCTTTGAGTCAAAGAAGAGAGCAAATAGCTCTCTGTTCAGGGAACCGGGTAGCACTAACCACTCTCCACTCTCCAATAGTAAAAGTAATTTAAGCTATCAGAGACCCAACACTACTTTAGCAGTGTCCCCTGGAGAACAAAGCAGTTAAAGCAAAATTTCATGTGGTTTTCTTTCATGATTTGAGCTCCTTCCGAGAAATACATCTAGAGTTATGCAGGAATAGTTTGAAACTGTTTCATTGGCAGTGTCCTAGCAGAGTTCTTTATCAGATAACAACTGTGAAGTTGTATCTAGCAATATGCGAAGTGCTGTGATTCAGGTTACAGCATGGTGGCTCACTTGTAAGGAGAATTTCCACATTCAGAATAATCTTTGTATGAAGTTTATATAAAACAGAAAGGTACAAAGTTTGAATAAAAATAAAAATAGAAAACCTGGATATTTATGAATTGTTTAAGGTGAGCTAACAATGTGGGAGACAACTAAATGTAGTAACTTCCATCCTAAAACAAAAATCAATGTGTATGATCTATACAGTTGAAAAAGATGTCAATTAGAAACACATATCTTTGTTTTCAACTAAAAAATTTCCCATGCACATGTTATGCTTTCACTACTTATGCATATATCCATAAAAATCAATGTCATTGATTTGTGTCATTTAAATTTTTACATAAATGATATCATACTGTATAGATACTTTTGCCACTTGCATTTTTTTAAACGTAATATTAGATTTTTGAGAAGTATCTATGTTTGTGACTATAAATCTAGAACACTGATTTTCTACTCCTCTTTTGAATATCATTCCATAAATATCAACCATTATTTATGTATTCCCCTACTGTTGGAAGTTAGGTCTTTAAGAATTTTCAAGAAACCTAGGAAGAAAAGAGCAATTGACAGTCATAGACAGTTTCTCGATTCTGCTCCAACATGTTGGCACACTGATGTGTTGGGCTACCATACATTCTAAGCTTCACAAAAGTGGTTTCGACGGAGGCAAGCTATCATAGAGTGGAAATGGAGTTTTGAATCTTAGAACAAAGACAGAAATGAGATAGTGGACAAACCAAGGAACATGGCAGGTATGGAACTCACAGGACTGTAACAGAGACACATAATGTAGTTTCAATGCGGATGTTTTCATGAACGTATTTCTTTTTCATGGCTCTACTATCTCTTTGGGGCTGCTATCGGGTATAGTAATTCTGAATACTTATTTTCCATCTGTGTATAACAGGTTCTATTCATGCAAAACCTTTCAGTGATCAAACTTCTTGATCTCCTTAAGCCATTCAATATGAATATAAATCCAGTGACTATCCTCATTCTTTTAGATTTTCCACTAAATAAATGGTACACATATGTGGCTGTCCGTCAGAATTAACTGGGGATCTTTATAAAATTACATACTTTTATGAACTCAACCTTCGAAATTCTGATAAAGGATTTATAGGACAGAGGAATTGTATTTTTTTAATAAAAATTCTTCAGAGATTCAAATAAATTTCAGTTGTGATACCACTTTCCTAAGTGTATAACTTAATTTTTATATAGAGTATTCCCTAGCAAGAGTTGTAAAAATATTAACCTAAAAATGTGATGTGGGGTAGAAAAATGAAAAGCTTCACCTTGAAATCTTTGGCCAGAATTAAGTTGATATGCTTCAACTGAAAACGTACATAGTTGAAAATGTACAACTGAAAATGTACATAGCTAAGAAAGATGCAGACTCTATTGACAAACTGATTTACACCTCACAGAAAAGATAAAATGCTTTACCTGTGGATTAGAAAACCCAAATAATTAAGTTATCTTATTCATTGCATGTGTGGAGGATATTTAGTACATTATTAAAATCATCATAGAACCAGGCCCTTATAAACTTTGTAATTGGTTATGAATAATTGCAACTTATGCCTTTTCTATTGTGTTTCCAGCACAGTGATGCGGTCCATGACCTTCTTCTGGATGTGATCACATGGGTTGGAATTTTGCTGTCCCTTGTTTGTCTCCTGATTTGCATCTTCACATTTTGCTTTTTCCGTGGGCTCCAGAGTGACCGTAACACCATCCATAAGAACCTCTGCATCAGCCTTTTTGTAGCAGAACTGCTCTTCTTGATTGGGATCAACCGAACAGATCAACCAGTAAGCAATTAATTTTGGTATTAGAAAAGAATTTCTCCACTTCCAGCTTTCCAATACACAAAATATTCTTGTTTGAAAGTATCCTCTCTTCCAGTTGTCTAAGATAGTTACTAATTTTGAGATCTTATTCAGTATTCCCTTTTTCATATCCATTGCCATAAAGAAGCAGTGAATATATGGATGTATGAATGTACATTTCTTCAGAAATTCTGTTCAAAAACTTGCCTTTCTAAACAACTGTGTTTCTTCATTAGTATCTTTCTTTAATTTTTTTAATCACAAACCTGAATATTGAGAAAACTTAAATCATTTGGGGAATGGAGGAGTATCTTTTCTAACATGTAATTGTTATTCTTTGAAGTTTATAATATATATTTTTAAAAAAAAAACACTGGAAATTATATTGAAAACTGCATGTCTAACATGAGTTGAGTTTTTTTTTTAACCTTTTTTTTAACATCTTTATTGGAGTATAATTACTTTACAATGGTGTGTTAGTTTCTGCTTTATAACAAAGTAAATCAGCTATACATATACATATATCCCCATATCTCCTCCTTCCTGCATCTCCCTCCCACCCTCCTTATCCCACCCCTCTAGGTGGTCACAAAGCACTGAGCTGATCTCCTTGTGATATGCGGCTGCTTCCCACTAGCTATCTATTTTACATTTGGTAGTATATGTAAGTCCATGCCACTTTCTCACTTCGTCCCAGATTACCCTTCCCCCTCCCTGTGTCCTCAAGTCCATTCTCTACATCTGCATCTTTATTCCTGTCCTACCCCTAGGTTATTCAGAAGCTTTTTTTTTTTTTTAGATTCCATATACATGTGTTAACATATGGTATTTGTTTTTCTCTTTCTGACTTACTTCACTCTGTATGACAGACTCTAGGTCCATCCACCTCATTACAAATAACTCAATTTCATTTCTTTTTATGGCTGAGTAATATTCCATTTTATATATGTGCCACATCTTCTTTATCCATTCATCTATCAAGGGACACTTAGGTTGTTTCCATGTCCTGTCTATTGTAAATACAGCTGCAATGAGCATGACACTTTTTGAATTATGGTTTTCTCAGGGTATATGCCAGTAGGGGGATTGCTGGGTCACATGGTAGTTCTATTTTTAGTTTTTTTAAGGAACTTCCATACTGTTCTCCATAGTGGTTGTATCAATTTACATTCCCACCATTAGTGCAAGAGGGTTCCCTTTCCTCCACACCCTCTCCAACATTTATTATTTCTAGATGTTTTGGTGATGGCCATTCTGACTGCTGTGAGGTGATACCTAATTGTAGTTTTGATTTGCATTTCTCTAATGATCAGTGATGGTGAGCATCCTTTCATGTGTTTGTTGGCAATCTGTATATCTTCTTTGCAGATACGTCTATTTAGGTCTTTTGCCCATTTTTGGATTGGGTTGTTAGTTTTTGGGTTTTTTTTCCTTTTTTTTGCGGTACGCAGGCCTCTCACTGATGTGGCCTCTCCCGTTGCGGAGCACAGGCTCCGGGCGTGCAGGGTCAGCGGCCATGGCTCACGGGCCCAGCCGCTCTGTGGCATGTGGGATCTTTCCAGACTGGGGCACGAACCCGTGTCCCCTGCATCAGCAGGCGGACTCCCAACCACTGCGCCACCAGGGAAGCCCTGTTTGTTTTTTTGATATTGAGATGCATGAGCTGCTTGTATATTTGGAGATTAATCCTTTGTCAGTTGCTTCATTTGCAAATATTTTCTCCCATTCTAAAGGTTGTCTTTTCATCTTGCTTATGGTTTCCTTTGCTGTGCAAAAGCTTTTAAGTTTCATTAGGTCACATTTGTTTATTTTTGTTTTTTATTTCCATTTCTCTAGGAGGTGGGTCAAAAAGGATCTTGCTGTGATTTATGTCATAGAGTGATTTGCCTATGTTTTCCTCTAAGAGTTTTATAGCGTCTGACCTTACGTTCAGGTTTTTAATCCATTTTGAGTTTATTTTTGTGTATGGTGTTACAGAATGTTCTAATTTCATTCTTTTACATGTAGCAGTCCAGTTTTCCCAGCACCACTTATTGAAGAGGCTGTCTTTTCTCCATTGTATATTCTTGCCTCCTTTATCAAAAATAAGCTGACCATATGTGCATGGGTTTATCTCTGGGATTTCTATCCTGTTCTATTGGCCTATATTTCTATTTTTGTGCCCATACTGTACAGTCTTGATTACTGTAGCTTCATAGTATAGTCTGAAGTCCAGGAGCCTGATTCCTCCAGCTCTGTTTTTCTTTCTCAAAATTGCTTTGGCTATTTGGGGTCTTTTGTGTTTCCATACAAGTTGTGAAATTTTTGTTCTAGTTCTGTGAAAAGTGCCATTAGTACTTTGATAGGGATTGCATTGAATCTGTAGATTGCTTTGGGTAGTAGAGTCATTTTCACAATGTTGATTCTTCCAATCCAAGAACATGGTATATCTCTCCATCTCTTTGTATCATCTTCAATTTCTTTCATCAGTGTCTCATAGTTTTCTGCATAGAGGTCTTTTGTCTCCTTAGGTAGGTTTATTCCTAGGTATTTTATTCTTTTTATTGCAATGGTAAATTAGAGTGTTTCCTTAATTTCTCATTCAGATTTTTCATTATTAGTGTATAGGAGTGCACGAGATTTCTGTGCATTAATTTTGTAACCTGCTACTTTACCAAATTCATTGATTAGCTCTAGTAGTTTTCTGGTAGCATCTTTAGGATTCTCTATGAATAGGATTTTGTCATCTGCAAACAGTGACAGCTTTACTTCTTCTTTTCTGATTTGGATTCCTTTTATTTCTTTTTCTTCTCTGATAGCTGCGGCTAAAACTTCCAAAACTATGTTGAATAATAGTGGTGAGAGTGGACAACCTTGTCTTGTTCCTGATCTTAGTGGAAATGGTTTCAATTTTTCACCATTGAAAACAATGTTTGCTGTGGGTTTGTCATATATGGCCTTAATTATGTTGTGGTAGGTTCCCTCTATGCCTACTTTCTGGAGAGTTTTTATCATAAATGGGCTTTCAATTTTGTCATAAGCTTTTTCTCCATCTATTGAGATGATCATATGGTTTTTCCCTTCAATTTGTTAATATGGTTTATCACACTGATTGATTTGCTAATATTGAAGACTCCTTGTGTTCCTGGTATAAACCCCACTTGATCATGGTGTAGAACACTTTAATATACTGCTGGATTCTGTTTGCTAGTATTTTGTTGAGGATTTTTGCATCCACGTTCATCAGTGATATTGGCCTGTAGTTTTCTTTGTTTGTGACATCTTTGTTTGGTTTTGGTATCAGGGTGACGGTGGCCTCATAGAATGTGTTTGAGAGTGTTCCTCCCTCTGCTATATTTTGGAAGAGTTTGAGAATGATAGGTGTTAGCTCTTCTCTAAATGTTTGATAGAATTTGCCTGTGAAGCCATCTGGTCCTGGGCTTTTGTTTGTTGGAAGATTTTTAATCACAGTCTCAATTTCAGTGCTTGTGATTGGTCTGTTTATACTATCTATCTCTTCCTGGTTCAGTCTCAGAAGGTTGTGCTTTTCTCAGAATTTGTCCATTTCTTCCAGGTTGTCCATTTTATTGGCATATAGTTTCTTGTAGTAATCTCTCATGATCTTTTGTATTTCTGCAGTGTCAGTTGTTACTTCTCCTTTTTCATTTCTAATTCTATTGATTTGAGTCTTCTCCCTTTTTTCTTGATGAGTCTGGTTAATGGTTTATCAATTTTGTTTATCTTCTCAAAGAACCAGCTTTTAGTTTTATTGATCTTTGCTACTGTTCCCTTCATTTCTTATTCACTTATTTCTGATCTGATTTTATGATTTCTTTCCTACTGCTAACGTTGGGGTCTTTTTGTTCTTTCTCTAATTGCTTTACGTGTAAGTTTAGTTTGTTTATTTGAGATGTTTCCTGGTTATTGAGGTAGGATTGTATTGCTATAAACTTCCTTCTTAGAACTGCTTTTGCTGCATCCCATAGGTTCTGGGTCATTGTGTTTTCATTGTCATTGTTTCTAGGTATTTTTTGCTTTCCTCTTTGATTTCTTCAGTGATCTCTTGGTTATTAAGTAGTGTATTGTTTAGCCTCCATGTGTTTGTATTTTTTATAGATTTTTTTCCTGTAATTGATATATAGTCTCATAGCTTTGTGGTCAGAAAAGATACTTGATACGATTTCAATTTTCTTAAATTTACCAAAGCTTTTTTGTGATCCAAGATATGATCTATCCTGGAGAATGTCCCATGAGCATTTGAGAAGAAAGTGTATTCTGTTGTTTTTGTGTGAAATGTCCTATAAATATCAATTAAGTCCATCTTGTTTAATATATCATTTAGAGCTTGTGTTTCCTTATTTATTTTCATTTTGGATGATCTGTCCATAGGTAAAAGTGGGGTGTTAAAGTCCCGTACTATGATTGTGTTACTGTTGATTTCCCCTTTTATGGCTGTTAGCATTTGCCTTATTTATTGAGGTGCTCCTATGTTGGGTGCAAAAATATTTATAATTGTTATATCTTCTTCTTGGATTGATCCTTTGATCATTATGTAGTATCCTTCTTTGTCTCTTGTAATAGTCTTTGTTTTAAAGTCTATTTTTTCTGATATGAGAATTGCTATTCCAGCTTTCTTTTGATTTCCATTTGCATGGAATATCTTTTTCCATCCCTCACTTTCAGTCGCTAAGTGTCCCTAGGTCTAAAGTGGGTGTCTTGTAGACAGCATATATATTGGTCTTGCTTTTGTATCCATTCAGCCAGTCTATGTTTTTTGGTTGGAGCATTTAATCCATTTACATTTAAGTTAATTATTGATATGTATGTCCTATTACCATTTTCTTAATTATTTTGTGTTTATTATTGTAGGTCCTTTCCTTTAGCATTTGTTGGTGGTTTAGTGGTGCTGAATTCTCTTAGCTTTTGCTTGTCTGTAAAGGTTTTAATTTCTCCATTGACTCTGAATGAGATCAGATGGGTAGAGTAATCTTGGTTGTAGGTTTTTCCCTTTTATCACTTTAAATATATCCTGCCACTCCCTTCTGGATTGCAGAGTTTCAGCTGTTAACCTTATGGGAATTCCCTTGTATGTTATTTGTTGTTTTTCCCTTGCTGCTTTTAATATTTTTTCTTTGTATTTAATTTTTGATAGTTTGATTAATATGGGTCTTGGCTTGTTTCTCTTTGGGTTTATCATGTATGGGACTCTCTGCACTTCCTGGCATTGACTGACTATTTCATTTCCCATATTAAGGAAGTTTTCAACTATAATCTCTTCAAATATTTTCTCAGTCCCTTTCTTTTTCTCTTCTTCTTCTGGGACCCCTAAAATTTGAATGTTGGTGCATTTAATGTTGTCCCAGAGTTGTCTACGACTGTCCTTAATTCTGTTCATTCTTTTCTCTTTATTCTGGTCTGCAGTAGTTATTTCCACTATTTTATCTTCCAGGGTGCTTATCAGTTCTTCTGCCTCAGTTATAATGCTATTGATTCCTTCTAGAGAATTTTTAATTTCATTTATTGTGTTGTTGATCATTGTTTGTTTGCCCTTTAGTTCTTTTAGGTCCTGCTTAAATGTTTCTTGTATTTTCTCCATTCTTTTTCCAAGATTTAGGATCATTTTTACTAGCATTACTCTGAATTCTTTTTCAAGTAGACTGCCTATTTCCTCTTCATTTGTTTGGTCTGGTGAGTTTTTACCTTGCCTCTTTATCTGCTGCATATTTCTCTGTCTTCTCATTTTGCTTAATTAATGTGTTTGGGGTCTCCTTTTTGCAGACTGCAGGTTCGTAGTTCCTGTTATTTTTGGTGTCTGCCCCCAGTGGGCTGGGTTAGTTCAGTGGGTTGTGTAGACTTCCTGTTGGAGGGGACTAGTGCCTGTGTCCTAGTGGATGAGGCTGGATCTTGTCTTTCTGATGGGCAGAACCTCATCTGGTGGTGTGTTTTGGGGTGTCTGTGACCTTATTATGATTTTCGGCAGCCTCTCTGCTAATGTGTGGGGTTGTGTTGCTAGTTGTTTGGCATAGAGTGTCCAGCACTGTAGCTTGCTGGCTGTTGAGTGGATCTGGGTCTTAGCATTGAGATAGAGATCTCTGGGAGATTTTTGCCTTTTGATATTACATGGAGCCGGGAAGTCTCTGGTGGACCAATGTGCTGAAGTCAGCTCTTCCACCTCAGAGGCACAGGTCTGACACCCGGCCAGAGCACCAAGACCCTGTCAGCCACACGACTCAAAAGAAAAGGGAGGGAAATAAATAAATAAAATAAAATAAAATAACGTTATTAAAATAAAAATAATTATTAAAAATAAAAAAATTAAAAGGTAATAAAAAAAAGAAAGAAAGAAGGAAGAGAGCAACCAAACCAAAAAACAAATCCACCAGTGATAACAAGCACTAAAAACTATACTTAAAAAAAAGAAAAAGAAAAACAAACAATAAACAAAAAAACGGACAGATGGAACCCTAGGACAAATGGTAAAAGCAAAGCTGTACAGACAATATCACACAAAGAAGCATACACATACACATTCACAAAAAGAGAAAAAGGAAAAAAAAATCTATATATTAAAAAAAGGAAGAAAGCAACCAAATCAATAAACAAATCTACCAATAATAATAAACTCTAAATACTAAACTAAGATAAACATAAAACCAGAAACAAATTAGATGCAGAAAGCAAACCCCAAGTCTACAGTTGCTCCCAAAGTCCACTGCCTCAGTTTTGTGATGATTCGTTGTCTATTCACGTATTCCACAGATGCAGGGTACATCAAGTTGATTGTGAAGATTTAATCTGCTTCTCCGGAGGCTGCTGGGAGAGATTTCCTTTTCTCTTCTTTGTTCGCACAGCTCCTGGGGTTCAGCTTTGGATTTGGCCCCGCCTCTGCATATAAGTTGCCTGAGGGCGTCTGTTCTTAGCACCCACAGGACGGGGTTAAAGGAGCAGCTGATTAGGGGGCTCTGGCTCACTCAGGCTGGGCAGAGCAGAGGTACGGAATGTGGGGTGAGCCTGAGGTGACAGAGCCTGGAGTGATGTTGCAACAGCCTGAGGCGTGCCATGTGTTCTCCTGGGGAAGTTTTCCCTGTTTCACGGGACTCTGGCAGTGGCTTCCGGGAGGGGAGGTGTGGATAGTGACCTGTTCTTGCACATAGGCTTCTTGATGGCTGCAGGAGCAGCCTTTGTGTTGCATGCCCATCTCTGGGATCCCTGCTGGTAGCTGCAGCTCACGACAGTCTCTGGAGCTCGTTTAAGTGGTGCTCTGAATCCCCTCTCCTTGAGCACCCTGAAACAATGGTCTCTTGCCTCTTAGGCAGTTCCAAACTTTTTCCCGGACTCCCTCCAGCCTAGGTGTGGTGCACTTGCCCCCTTCAGGCCCTGTTCATGCAGCCAACCCCAGTCCTCTCCCTGGGATCTGACCTGCGAAGCCCGAGGCTCAGCTCCCAGCCCCCACCCACCGCAGCGGGTGAGCAGACAAGCCTCTCAGGCTGGTGAGTGCTGGTCGGCAGCAATCCTCTGTGCAGGAATCTCTCCGCTTTGCCCTCCGCACCCCTGTTGCTGTGCTCTCCTCCGCGGCTCCGAAGCTTCCCCCCTCCACCACCCACAGTCTCCGCCCGCGAAGGGGCTTCCTAGTGTGTGGAAACTTTTCCTCCTTCACTGCTCCCTCCCAGAGGTGCAGGTCCTATCCCTATTTTTTTGTCTCTGTTTTTTCTTTTTTCTTTTACCCTACCCAGGTATGTGGGAAGTTTCTTGCCTTGTGGGAAGTCTGAGTTCTTCTGCCAGCATTCAGTAGGTATTCTGTAGGAGTTGTTCCACATGTAGATCTATTTCTGCTGTATTTGTGGGGAGGAAGGTGATCTCCACGTCTTACTCCTCCGCCATCTTGAAAGTCTCCTAACATGAGTTTTTCTAATTGACCTATTTTGGAAAATAGTTCAAACTCAATGTCATTTTTATAATTTATATACTCTTCCCAAATTTTGTTTTACACTTTATATTTTCTTAAATTCTGTTTACATCTTTAAGTGCTAACTTTGTACTTTATACTTTACTACTAACCACATTTAGCCATATCAAGAAAGGAAGGGAAGGAGGGAGAGAGATGGGGAGAGAAGGAGGGAGGGAGTGAGGGAGGAAAGGAAGGAGGGAAGGAAAGAAATAGGAAAAAATGAATAGCACTAGCCAACTGTTCTTGATAAACCCAAACAGAAAATATGATCAACAGACAATATCTAATATAGTAAACAGACTTTATGCACATTTGTAATTTTTGTGAGGCCCTTTCTACTAACTTAAGATTTATGCACATAACGCAAGTTGGTTCTCATGAGTAAAACTGCAAATGAAAATTTTCATTTTTTAGAAGACTTGTAGGCATAATAATTCATTCATTTAATGCTGTTCTCTGGTATGTGTCCATATGTATACAGTATGTTACAATGAAAATGCAGTTGGATTCATGTTTGTGATTACACATTCATGATTAATGGCTGTGAAGGGTACAATTATGGTGATTATACTTTTAACTGGTTATCATATACAAATGTGACAGTTTTTCCCATAAATGCATACAGATGAATAAGCAATCAAAGTGCACATTCTTTCTCCAAAAACGTAAAGCCTTCTGATAACAAAAATTAATAGTTGAAGTTCTAACTCTACAAAGCAAGAAATGGAAAACGATGTTATTTCCCAAGAAGAAATCATTTCATTCTCTTTTTAACCTGCAATTCAAATGCTCTGTGATTTCTTTTCATTTAGAAACCTTATTCTTATTTTTGCTTCTTGATGTTACATATGGTATGATAAACTTCTCCAAGTGTTGCATACTGCACAAAACTTCTGACATGTAGCATAAAGGACAATGATTGATATCAAAAATTTGGGTTGAGTGCAGCTCAGCCCAACTTGTCTTTACTCTTATTGCTGTATATGTGTTCTCTTCCTGCCTGTTATGTGGCAGTCAGGCTCTACTTTCTCTTTCTAGCCCCTTTGACACTTGACTGCCTCATCTCCCCTTCATCATCATCTCTCTAATCCAAGGAAATAGACCTGCCCTTTGTCTCATTTCTCAAGGATCATACTCATCATTGAATCCATACTAATGAGTTAATTTCTATAAATTTGTTGCCTTTTCTAGTAGGAACTGTAGATTTTAGTTAAGACTTCTTATAAAAAATGAAGGCCTCCCCTCCAAAGGAGTGAGAATTTCAGGAACTGACATAAGATAATTAATATATGGTCAGCTGAAACTTATAGTACCTTAGAAAATATGCCAAAGTAAGGGCTAGCTGCCTTTTGTGACCAAGCTTGTATAGCCCAACATTTAGTAAAATAACAAAAAATGAGAGAATGAAAGCACTTCTGGAACACTTTATTTTAACCAGATCTACATTTACACCTATGCAGTACAAACTTCCCAATGTCATCTTAAATCCTTTCTGAAACAAGGCAAGGAAGAAATAAACAATAAATAATAATGAATTAATAATCTCATTATAAAACACTTTAATTATTATATTTTTTTATTTTAAGAGCTTTTATTCTCCTTGATTTTAGTGTTTCTCTTTCACTTACATTGAACTTACTATGTTAATAAACACAGGATTATGACCAAGAAAAAAATTCATGAGATCTATTTTAAAACCTTTAGACTAATCTCAGTAATAATTATCAATAGGATCTTATTAGAACTTTTCCCTATATGTTATACTTTTTTCTTATTATAATGCTCTGCTGCCATCCATAGCCATTATTAATAAAATGTTAAATAGAGTTTTCACAGATAAGTTATATTTAATTAGGTTTTAATGTCTGAATTTTAAGAATCTTATCTCAATTATTTTTTTGCAGACCTATCTTATTATTGCAGTCTTGATAAATATTTATTTTAATTTTATGGCAGTTGGTATTTCATTTGGTAGTTATCTGACTGACTCATTTGTTCCTTTCCCTAGATTGCCTGTGCCGTTTTTGCTGCTCTCTTACATTTCTTCTTCTTGGCTGCCTTCACGTGGATGTTCCTGGAGGGAGTGCAGCTCTATATCATGCTGGTGGAGGTTTTTGAGAGTGAACATTCACGAAGGAAATACTTTTACCTGGTCGGCTATGGGATGCCTGCACTCATTGTGGCTGTGTCAGCTGCAGTAGACTATAGGAGTTATGGAACAGATAAAGTGTGAGTTTACGTTTTCTTTCCTTTCTTTCCTCTTTTAAAATCTAGTTGAAATTGAAACTTTGCATTTTCTCAGAAGCTAAGGCTTTATATCACTTCACAGCAATAAACAACAGAACTGTAGAAGCAAATGGAGATAATTCAATTCATGGGTTGTACTTTTGTTATGATGTAAAGAGAGAAAAGATATTCCTGAGATTGAACATCTACATCACAACCTTGAGTAATTATAAAAGAATGATACTTTTAATATCTTTCAGAGCATTGAGACATTTGTCAAATGAAGAGCTAGCTGTATTAAAGATGTGTATTCAGAGGACAGTGTAGTCCCTGACTTTAATGGCTTCTCTTCTTCCTGACATGTCAATTCTAATCACTAGAAAGTAACTTATATCATTAACAGAAAGATAGATAGAGCATATGAGCAGGGGCAGCTTGTGTTTTCCTTTTTTCCCCTAGGTGGCTATTGGGGTACAGTGATGAACTTTATTTTCAACATACCTTCAAATTGGTGAAACATACCCATAGAGATGATCAGCATACTTATGGAAAGAAATTCAGTGAAAAATATTTCAGTAATCCACATCAATATAATAGTTAGGATCCTGAGAATGAATGAGTTTCAACAGAAAAAGCTTAGAAAGAAGACCAAAATAGATCTCTGATGAATACTCATATTTAGAACATAGATTGAGGAGGGAGAATAAAAATAAAGAAAGAAAAGAGATGACCAGAGCCTTAAAAGAGAACCATGGGGAAAGTGAGAAGAAAATTTCAAGGTGGTATTCTCTGTCCATTTATCCTTTGCAACAACTATTTTGGCAAAGTGCTGGAAGCAGAAGCCAAATTGGAAAGTGTGAAGAGATAAGTCAGTGGCAATGAAGTAGAGTCTTCAAGTGTTATCTACAGCCTGAAAAAGTTTGATTGAGAAATAGTGAAAATATTAATTCATGGTAACAGTAATGAAGAATGATTTTTAAAAATGAAGTCCCAAAATATCTAGGGTGGGAAGAATCAAGTTGGTAAGAGGAGATTAGTAGAGAGAAAGTATCTTATGCCTCATTTGTATTAAATATATATATAGGCTGAATGAAAAGAAAAGGTCCTAGAGGGATAGAAAGACATAAGATTAGACATAAGATGAGAAAAATGTTGATTTAGTACTGAAAGTGGCCTTAGAATTCACCTAGTCCAAGGTATTATTATTATTATTATTTTTTTTTTTTTTTCGGTACGTGTGCCTCTGACTGTTGTGGCCCCTCCCGTTGCGGAGCACAGGCTCCGGACGCGCAGGCTCAGCGGCCATGGCTCACGGGCCCAGCAGCTCCACGGCATGTGGGATCTTCCCGGACCGGGGCACGAACCCGTGTCCCCTGCATCAGCAGGCGGACTCTCAACCACTGCACCACCAGGGAAGCCCCAAGGCATTATTTTTATAGATGAAAAAAAATCAAGAACCAGATAAATTAATTGCCTTGTCCATGGTGATGGAGGTAGATAGTGGCAGACATGTGATGAAATAAGTCAGGCTTATTTCCACTAAAACTAGGATGTTTTTGAAACAGTCAGATGACCCCTGTCTTCTGAGGTATGAAGGAAATAACAGAAAAGATAAATTTGGAAGCGGAGGAATTTTTCCATCAAATAGGAGATGCTGATTTTTGAGTGAATAGGTGAGGTCACACTGAGAGGACAGATTTGAAAAGCTCTGAAATGAGCACTATGGAAAATGTGTTAAGGAGCCAATTAGACATTAATAAAACGATTTCCAAGCAGTAGTGTAGGCTCAGATGAGGTTAGACAACATCAATTGTACAGAAGTTAGTAAGCCAAATTTCATGACTTTTCACCAGCAGTCAGCAGCCTGAATATGCTGGCAATAAAGCAGCTCGTTTTCCAGAAGAGAAGATTCAGAAGGAGGGAACCAAAAGAGGACTCCAGAGTTATAGGGAGCATAGTTAAAATAGAACATACGTTGGTGTAGAAGCACCAACAATACGATTAAAAGAAGACCATCTCGGGCTTTCCTGGTGGCGCAGTGGTTGAGAGTCCGCCTGCTGATGCAGGGGACACGGGTTCGTGCTCTGGTCCAGGAAGACCCCACATGTCGCGGAACGGCTGGGCCTGTGAGCCATGGCCACTGAGCCTGCGCGTCCGGAGCCTGTGCTCCGCAACGGGAGAGGCCACAACAGTGAGAGGTCCGCGTACCGCAAAAAAAAAAAAAAAAAAAAAAAAAAAAAAAAAAAAGACCATCTCGCTTCTGTTGAATTTTTTTCTTGAGTACAGTGACAAGCTACATAAAACAATTTGTCTAAATGTAACTAATAGTAATTATTTTTTAATCTAACATTTGTGAATTGTGGTGGAATCTGAGGTCATTTTGTGTATCCCAGTGGCAATCATGGACCAGATTAGGATTAGGTAAAAATATTGCCTGTATTTGCTCCTAAAGACATTTTAGGGGAGGGGGATTAGATCATAGAATTTAATAAAAAACACCTTTATTGATATAATTTGCATACCATAAAATTCACTCTTTTAAAGAATACAATTCAGTTGTTTTTAGTACATTCAATTTAGGCATCCATCACCACTATCTAATTTTAGAATATTTTTATCCCCTCTAAAAGAAGCCCATTAGCAGTTACTGCCCTTAGATCATAGGATTTTACATTTTAATTAATGCATTTTCTCTCTAATGTATTAAATTGACTGATATTGTTATTTGTGACCTATACTATAAATATTGTCCTTATATAGTTCAATTTTGCTCTCTTGCAGTTCTTGACTTGCTTTATTTTTGTTTCCTGTTGTTTTTTCTCTTTAGATATTTGCACATTTTCCTATTACTGAACTGACAACTTGTTTGCTTTATGTTTTAGTCATTTATTTTGAAAGAGAGGTCATTTTCTGGATAGCAGGAATCTATCTTTTCTTAGAATCAATACTATGTAGTCTCTTGTGATTTTTTTAAAGTTTTGGCCATCATTGCTTTAATTTCCTGCACCATAACTGGAAGATCTCATTTACTGACATTATCACTTTGTGAGAATAGAGGCTAATTTTTTTCCCAGGCATTGATTTAAAACAAGCCTTAATAATAGTTCAGTTTCACCATTATGATTTTTCCCAACACAAAGAGAAGCAAAACAGATACAGATAAAATAAATGGTAAATGAAAGAGGGATAGAAAAGGATAGGGAAAATTACACTAAAATTCTTTCACAGGTGGACATAGAGCATTTAGTGTCTCATTTGTGCATTTTCAATAAACTGTCCAGAGAGACAAAACTTCAAAATACATGGAAAAAAGATTTAACTTCTTCCTTTGGGAATTCATCCAACTCAACATCTATACAGTGCTGTTTTGCCCATTGAGGAAGCAGGTGTTGAAAAAGAAACATTATTCAGTCATTTGTATTTACTTGATAAGCTGAAATGAAGAGATCATGTTTCTGTCAGGAGTTTAATCAAGATATTGTCTCAAATAAAAATATAAGCGATGAATTTTTATACACTGGAAGGATTTCTGCATATAGAATTATGTATTTTGTTCCTTATTATTAAATCTGTTTTTGTTTTCTGGTTTCTGTTACTATTGTTTATTTCTTTTATTTCAAGTGGCATTTCCTACTTCCTGCTCATCACATTTGGGGGCTTTTTGGTTTGTTTGCTTGTTTTTGCCAGTGTTACCTTCTTATGTGCTACATTGATTTTTTTAAGTACAAATACGTAAAGTCTACAGTCATAAATAAACTGGAATTAGCCAGAATTCAGAGACATATTATCACTCATTTTCTGTAAATTCTTATTAAGCTTAATACAGTAAATTTTTATTTCTCGGAAGTCTATTTTACTTATTTTTGGAATTTTGTTATTACTAAATTTTTACTTCTTAGTCTCAACCACTTGGATTACATTGAGACTAAAACCATTGAATACATATTACACTAATCCAAATAACAAATTTCTCTTTCTTTTCTCTCCTCTTAATGTATTTTATTATAATAACAATGAGGTTTTATTTCTGAAACCTTTAATAATAATAATAACTTACATTTCTAAAAAGTAGAGAATCGTATCAATGGTAGGAGATAAAATTAGAGACAGAATTGTTTTTGTAGGTTAAATAAATGTTATTTTGATACAGATAGAGGTAACTATCATATTCCATTTGGCTGAAGGATTATGATGTGTTTTTCTATGAAATGTTATTAGGGCTGTTGAATTGATTATTATGTAGAAAACACATACTCACACATAAAGCATACATAATTTGATTTTGAGAAGTTGCTTAGTTTGCCATCAATTTGCAATATTTATAAGAGAATCTCATTATTTTCTGATGTTATTTAATGAAATCTTTTTATCTGTATTGACATTATTCTCGAGATAATTTACTTAGAATTACATTTAGTCACAATTATCAGACACTTAAAAAATCAGATTAAAGGTCCAATACAGTCATTAAAAAAAAAGAAATTCAGCTAGTGGCCCACAGGTCTAAATTGCACTGACTATGGGGTGTTTTCCATTTTCTCTCTGTTTTTCTATCTACCATTAGTCTCTTATACTGTTATTCATATGAACATTCAGTGAAGCCTTCCATGGGGTTATAGCTCAAAGGGAGAGCATTTGACTTTGGTGAAGCTGTCCAATATGATACTGTCAAAAAATAAAGGCTGGCATTGACTTAATAATTCAAACACAATTGATACGGAAATTCTGTGCTAAGTACTTTGATTTTATGACCTGAAACTAATTAGTTCATGTAAACTTTAATTACTGCAGTATTACCTCCAAAAATGCAAACTGTTTGAACAGTTAATTTTTATTCAAAGGGAAAAAATTGCATTTATAGTTTATAGCACTTTCCTTGAAATCTAACTTTATGACAGAAAAAGCAGTGGTTAAAGTCATGGGTAGATTGGAAAAGGACTGGAAGTAGTTTCCAAGAAGAGGAGAAGGGAGGGTGCTGGGAAGGAGTAAAGCTCAGAGAATAG